AGGCTAGTTGAATTTAGTAGAATAATATGTTTTATAGAGCTAGCACTTAGACGGTTAATCGACAAGTGTATATTCCTTATCACGATATAGAATAATTTTGAGTAATCCCTTCTTGTAGCATTTTGCTTTTAGAGCGTATGTATAGTAGTTCATTAGTTAATTAAATGTGTTATTTTATATTCAATGCTGTGTCATCCTTCAGTACAATCGGTAACCTCCTTGCAGATAATCGGCAACCTGTCGACTTACTCATTTCCTTCCCCACTCACATTTTTGCCCTCCTATATAGCCATTCTCTGACCGATCTGCCAGTAAGCGGGGAGAAGATCGAAGCTATACCCCCTCGGTTCTCACAGGTATATCTGTCATCTAGAAACTTCCTAACAATGTGATGTGTTCAATATTGCAGTTTTCTGTAGTGCCATGTATATTTTTTACAGGTTTAATGTTTCTAGACTTTTGTGTAGTGTTTGTGGTATAACACCAGTAAGAGAGAAGACAATGGGTACAATAAATACCTTATCCATCCTCCACAGCTGTCTTATTTCTTGAGTGAGTGGATTTTTCCAGTGTGAGAACTTTTTTATGAGTGTTTAAAATGGAAATGTCTGTTATATAAGCAATCTCACTGCATTTGTCAATAAAAGTGATGTCAGGTCTATTGTGATGAATTGTTTTGTGTGTGATTATGGCTTGGTCATGGTATATTTTGTGTATGTCATTTCCTAATACTGACTGTGGAGTATATTTGTAGTATGGTACCTGGGTATTTAATAATCTGTTTGTGTGCAACCTCTTGTGTATTATATTTGCTATTTAATTAATTAATTATGTTTATGTAAATAGTCAGTTTGTGCAAAAGGGCTTGAAACCAGAAGTTATATGTTGTATTGTTTCTGGCAGAATGTGGCATTTGTGAGTGATGTATACTTTAGGATGTGTTTTCTGTAGTTTTTGTGTTTATGACCTGGTCTTGAATGGCAACCATAAACTTCTCTCTCTCCAGACAGCACTTAGTTGGCCAATAGTTTGATGCAGTTTTGTCAACATAGTCCTGAGCTGTCACAGGCATGCCTGCCATGAAGTGCCTTTTGGACCAATGACTGCTTATTGGGCTGCAATTTGAAAAAATTTGACCTATAAATTTCCACTGTCGTCTGTCTGTCTTAATCTCGAGAAGTGTTAGATAAATGAAATTCAAGACCAGATATGGAAAGCTTAGGGACAGGAAATTAACTATTATATGGACTTCCAATTTTCACCAGAAGTCACATTATTTCAATTGAACAATTTTCTCTTGATAGGAGTTAATGACTGGCAACAACTCTATTGCTAGCAGGAAAATATGATGTACAGGAGCAAGACAATACTAATAAGAGGTGGATAGCATATATTTTAAATTAAATTAATTAAAAATATGATTCAAAATTGCAGCCTGGGTATTGTGACGATGTCACAATAAATAATTGCTCGTTGGCATCTATTTTATTTGTGTTGAGCTATGTCCAGGTGCTCAAAGTGTTTGTTTAAAGGTGTGTGGTTACTGTCTACCAGAGTTACAGCTTTATGTAATCTTAATTTTTCTTGTTTTTCCTGGAAAAACTCCCACAATGTCAGAATTTGTTTGTAGTGCAGGCCACCTTCTTTACAAGGAAGAGAGTCTTTCTCACGGATGATTTTGGGTGATATTGTTAATGCTTAGTAAGTATTGTTGTCGTTTCCTTTGGAATTGCTTGAGATCTGTGCATGTCCTGTGTATAACTCCAAAAGAATGAGTGAGTACAGGGACAACATATATATTAATAGTTTTAATAGAACACGCCTAAATACAAAACATACTTAGTACTGCATGTAATCTATTCTGGTATTTGAATGTTAATCTTTGTTTTATCTGTGAATGTTCTGCAAGTTTGGCCTGTTGGAATCCTAAATATTTGTAAAACTCACCCTTTTCTGTGGATTTGATAATATCTACACTTCTGAGTACGGTCTCCTTTCTTCAGAACTTTTTCAATGTGGAGTGTTTTGCATTTGTCTAGACCAAACTCCATTTATATATTAATTATTATGCCTTTTTGTCCTTTTTAACTATTTATAATTTATTTTGTATACTAGTACTTTCTATATATTAACAGGACTTATTATACTGGTAAATTATGGATGTTTACACATCCATAATTTACCAGTATAATAAGTCCTGTTTATATATAGAAAGTACTAGTATACAAAATAAATTATAAATATCCATTTATATATCATTGGAGTATGTATGCATAGTTTATAAGAGACAAAGACGATTCCGTGTGGATGTGTAAAGTTTGATATCGTCCACATACAAGGTATGATAACGTGAAGTGTTTTACTGTGTCTGATGTTGTAACCATATTGTGTTTTGTTCAATGTGTTACTATTATTATTATTATTATAAATTAATTTTGAGATTTAAATTTTAAATATTTCACAAACGAATGTAGAAAATTCATCATTTTCTTAACTTGAAAATCTGCAATTATATTATCCATATGAACATCAGTTTAAAAATTTGGGCTATGTAATTAATTCTAGACTAATTATTTAGTTTTTAAGTAGACAGTCACGCTGCCTGCCTGTACATATATGATGTACAGTACATCATTCCAGATGAAAGCAGTAACTGGCTTAGTACTATGGAGATAGGCCATGGGTGCATAAAGTTGTCACCAGTTGGTACCATGAGTGACCAGTACAGTTATATCTAAACTAGCAGGTGGGCCCGGCGTTGCTCGGGCAAAAGTAACGATAACTAAGATAGAGATTATTACGTTACAGTCAACCATACTCGTTTTCACAGAATGCAAGAATTGGGTCCCCTTGTTTCCAGACTAATTAGAGAATTTTTAGATGGGTCTAAAAATATGTTCGATTTCACAGAATGCAAGAATTGGGTCCCCTTGTTTCCAGACTAATTAGAGAATTTTTAGATGGGTCTAAAAATATGTTCGATTTCCTGCAAAAACGAAAAAGCTGCATCTGCATCTTGCACGTCGCTTTCTCTTAACAATTCCATTGTTACTTAGCACTTCCATTGTTGATGGAAGTGTTAAGCCTTAATCCTGTTCCTCTCCCCCGTGGGGAAGAATTTCGAAAAATCCCTTCTTAGTGTGCGTTCTCCTAACGTACCCTAACTGTGTACCAAATTTCAACTCCTAACCGTTTGGGCTCGTATCCATAATGTATATAGAAGTTTTAACCCTGTGTCTCTCCCCCGGGGGGGATTTCGAAAAATCCCTTCTTAGTGTGCGTTTTCATGACATACCCTATCTGTGTACCAAACTTCAACTTTCAACTCCTAACTGTTTGGGCTCTGTGCTTATTATTATTATCAACCCGTCTCGATTATATATTAGATTCATAGTTCTGAAAGCAAAGATTGTTCAGAGGTCCAGGTAGCATAACTGGCTATGATGCCAGTTATGCTGCCTGGATCCTTCAAACAATGTCCACACAGTAAGTGGAAGCCACGCTTTGGGCCCATTCTTTTCTTCTAGAAAATTCTAAATTAAATTAATTACCATCAACATATCAGCATAACTACCTTCCTCTAGACAAATTATTTAGTATTTAATTAATTACATAGCTATATTATGACTCAATAATTCAACAGTTTGTTTGGCTTTATTATTATAAAAAGAAGGAATAATTCTGAAAGGTGGACAAATTTTCATTGTTTAAATATATTAATAATAATTGGAGAAACCTCCATTTATATTTAATGAGGATATTATTATTATTTAAGTGGAATATACTGTATACATACAAATGTAATTTGTTTGTTCATAGTTCATTTCACTTAATATACAGTAATAGGTGAATAATACAGTGGACAGAAAGAAAAGCCATATTAAAATTCACACAGCTAGTTTATCCAATTACAACAAAATGCATTGCAGTATTACTAAGTATATTAAACAACCCAAAGCCCAACACTGTGTGTGTGTGTGTGTCCGTCCAAACGATTGAGCTTTGAGCTATAAATCTGCTAATTTTAATCATTAATATTATATCTAAATTTAAATACGTCTGGAAGTGAAGGCTTGCTCAGGATCTGGGTGGCAGAACCGGCAAGTGCATTGCACGGCAAGCAGAGGTTGCAGGTTCAAGTCCCACCCCGGACCAATTCTTTTCTTCTGGATGATTCTAAATTATTTTAAAAATTATAATTAATTTAGATGAGAGATGATGCCTAACGTCTACCCTAGTAGCAAATTACTTAGCATTAATTATTAAAATTAGCGGCTTAGTATTACTAATTGTCTAATTACAATAACTTGTTACATTATAAAGTCATCTTTGTTATACATCTAATTAAAATATTAAGGAATGATAAATATTAAATTAGTATTCATTTATTGCATATATTTAACAAATAATAATTTAATATAAATAAAATAAGAATTTATTACACAATGTAATGAAATTAATACAACTTATTCAACAGTAGCAACAAATCAGAATTTTACACTGGATAAATAGAACAATTATAAAGCAAAGGGCTTTAAAATCCAGCAAAATTCATTAACAAGTTTTTTGCCTTCTTTAAATGGCTATCATCTAGATTTTAGAACCCTACGACAACCATTAAAGACTGAAAATGTTTCTTACTAAATTTAGCTGAATTTTAAAGGGTCTTATTTATAGTCATTAATAACATTACATCGACTACTTTAACATTGGACCATTAAACCGACAGTGGCAACTTTTATATCATTGCCGGCATTGATTCAGTATGTCCGTCATTCCCTTTCAATATCTTACTTTCCTATCTGTTAATTGGTTTTGGCCGATTGATTGGCATCCTATTCGGACTTCTTCCATGTTTGTTATAAAATTATACAGTTAGAGAATGTTCTATGATTCAGGTAGGATAGAACAATAGATTTAAGTTTAAAAATGTTGGTAGGTTGAATATCAACTGTTCAATTGTAGCTGAGGATGAGGAGAAGGCTCATCAAACATTTATCGTTTGCAAATACACACACTCTGGACTTCTATTAACAAATAAAGTTTAGAATAAAAATCTCGTACTTAAAACGAGATGCTTTTGGATTATTCATTTGACATAAAACTGGCTTATTTGATTAAATATGAAAATATTTTAACAAATGTGACGAAAGTCAAAAATCTTAATGTTTGATGTTGAAACAAATAATCTGACTATTTGTTAAAATATTCTATGTACAATATTTATTTTTTATTTTATGTACAAATTTTACAATGAGAAAACGAATAATAATGGCTTCAACAGCATGAACATCAGAAGTTTTCTGACCATAGCTCGTAGTTTTGACAGAACTGGTGTTCACAACGTGCACGTCGAGTTTTGATTAAATACTGCAGTAACCGAAACTTGTTCCTACCAATATGTTTCCCGAACGGCAAAGTCCGCAAAGTAACTATTAAGTCAGAATGTAAAACACGAGCAACCCATACAATGAGATAAACCCGAAATGGTATGTAGGATAATAATAATAAACAAAAAAATTATTTAGAAGTGTCTTAAAAGATTAAACTTAAGAGAAAATTCATTTATAATAACAAAAATGTTTATTATTCAATACTCAAATCAATTTTCATTTTTCATTTAGATACAATCATATTTGGTATACTTTGTTCTTATGGCCAATTAATACACGGAATATTTTCGGTAACGGAACGCCTTTATATACTTTTTAAATCAAAACGTAAAACAGAAGTCGTGATTATTTCCACAATTTTTAAGTGTCGAAAAATAAATAAATGCAATAAAATTATTCGACAAAACAATAAACTTTCCTATATATATATTTTTTTTACCTATCTTAGCAGCAATCAATATACATACGTGCTTACGCATGTAAAAAGTTAAGGCATTTTCAACAGAAAATTGAGAAAATATCAACCGTCAGTGACGAAATAGTACATTATGAACATTGTCAATTTGATTATTCTTAAGTTGTACTTTTAATATAAAATAACTTGATTAAAATACAACTTATGATTGTGAGATCATAACAGATAAAAGTAACAAAAATATTTCTAAAGATTAAATGCTTTTTTTTTTAAATACATATCTATTGAATATATATATAGTCATATATAACATTTTTTATCGGGTATTTAAAGCCACTTTTTTAGACTTAATCGTTCGACATCCGATAAAACATGATCAACAAAACATTTTAAATGCCGTTCGATTCCTCGATAATACGTAATATTTCTATTAAATCATATAACGTGATAATTCTCGGGTGCAAATCAAAGTATTTGCGATGGACTTTCGTCTTGGCAGAGAGTAAAAATCATGCTAGGCTCATCTACATTGATATACGTAACTTAGAAATCTTCTAAATCCTTAAAACTGCGACAATTCTTAGCAGGCTCTGGAATTGCGTGTCAGTTAAATATGTTAGTGCAGATGAGCTTGAAACGTATTCCCGCAATAAGAAGTTATGGAAGAGATACTTGTGACCGTAAAATATCCTTATTTTTAAAATATTGTGCCTTTTCAGATCAAAAATTAATTAAAAACTTGATTTTGGAAGAAGTTTTTTATGTGCATTGTAATAAGTGCACTAGTTCTAATTTTATTTGGAATTTCAACAAAATTTCCACGCTAGATTATTTTAAAGTGCAAAAAGAGCATTCACATCGTAAGAGATGCGAATTCCGAGTAACGATAAACCAATTAAGCATGTGATGTATAACAATTGACTTCGTTAGGCCATATAAAATTTTATTTAAAAAGAAACTGCTGATTTTTAAATATCTTTTGATATCTTGTTAGGGTTGTAGTTATTATGCCGCTCTCGGAAATGGTAAATACGTAATACGGCATTTTACGAAAGTCTTTTCTAATTTAAACTCTAGCCGTACGTAAAACATCGTACTTTGCCAAAATTGATTGAAAATTTATTTTTAATCAAAAATTTATTAAACTAAGTACTTTTGAGCGTAATTTTGTGAACAGATGGGGGACGACAACTATCATTTGGTCAATCCAAAAAGTATTTCCACAAGCTTCGGAAATCATACGTTAATTCCATAGTTAATGTGTATAAAATGCTAGCATTCTTGCATAACTTTAAGGTATAATTTCCCGAAAATAAATCATACAAAAAAACATATTTACAAGTAGTTTTTTTAATTAACACCTTTTTATTTACTTTTTTGGTGTGTAAATCTTTCAGAACTAAAATTGATAAAGCTTTAACTTTTTTTTATGCAGTGTAGAAAACAGGAGGATGAGGAGGCCACAATAAAAAATAAAATTCAAATATCTGGTTAAAAACCCTCACAAATTTAGTTCCTTGTTATAAAATCTTCAATAATAATGAACAAAAATCGATATCTATATTATAGAATTCACTGGGAAAAAATATATTATAAATTTGAAATATATATGTCAATCTAGGAACTATATACTTCATCAGAACAAAAATTTATAAATTCTTTATAAATTTCTTTTGTATCTAGAAAGTAATTAACAAATACTTATTACCTAAGAAAATTTAAATTAGAAAAATTTACCTATTTGGCGGTCGTTAAGTACAGCATGCACGTAATCAAACTTATTTCTAATCCTGCACTGCAGGTGACGGAGGTGAAGATCTAGAGCAGACCCGAAACAGAAGCTTTTGCGCCGTCGACCGAAGCCGCAACAAAAAAGCATCAATGCGTAAATACAATACAATACAATAAAATTCTCTTTCGAACGAAACAGAACTTGTGAGCTTATGCATTTCCTTAATTTTGGACTTAATTTTCTATTGCTTTATATAGATATATTTATATTAATATGCGTACGGTTTTTAATAAAGATAGTCCATTCGTTTTAAGTCGGTTTTAAAGGTATTTTTTTCTGATCGTAAGTTAGAACTTTAAACGTTCAGGAAATTATATGGTATTCTGTAACCTGTTTAATTAAGTAAAATTATATGGCTGGAGACGTCGTAGAGAAATAGCAACGTTAAGAAAAAAATATCCACGTCGTTAAGTAACCGTAAAAACACTACGTCGGAGAGACGACGGAATTGATCTTGACGCGTCAACTCCTCGCTCTATCACAGACTGCATCAATTTTCGAGCGAAGCCGATTCTACGTTGGGGGACACGATCACCTGAACTACAAATCCAGGTTGTAATTTAGTCTCTTCAATCTTCATCTTGTCGTTTAGAAGACGACCACCGAAAAACCAACGTTGGCACGATGGACCGATCCCCTCCATCGTCTGGAAACGGCGTTTCGCGCACAGAACCGTCTCTAAAGTTCGGACCAACATTTTGATGTCGCGTCCGTTACTGGAAAGGCGGAGTTTAATCGTGAGCTCTTGTCCTCCATTTAATGGTTCGCTTTCAGGAGACGGAGATTCTGCCTTGTCGTTATCTTCGATAAGATTAACTGGTGGGCTTAGACAGTACACGGGTAACTGATATCTGTTTCCGAGTTCGTCATAACATTCCAACAACGTTCCTGGAGCATCATAAAAAGAACATAATTAAAGTAACCAAACTGTACATTTTGAAATTTAAAAAATTTTTCAATTAACCGAACAAAACATAAATACAACAACACAATTAAAATACTTTTAGAGCAAATTATGTCTTTTGGAATTTGATCATCTTAGCAATATGCACTTTAGTTATTACTATATGCTTTGATCGATATCATTCCGAGATGCAGACTCTAAAATTGTTTAAAAATTTTTAAGATCCAATCCGGATTACTTATACACAAAATGTCAATCAGGCCATTAAAAAATTTATCAAATTTAATAATTTTTGAATCGCTTTCACTGTAAGGTACTGTCATTCCAAATTTTGAATGATAGATTCCTGTGAAGAACAATCATAATTCTAAATTTATCTGGAAGTTCTCTTTAATATGAAATATTAAAAAAAAATCTGTGATGTTCACATGGAATGCCACGACTGTTTATTCTCAAATCGTCAACTTTCAACATCTCTTTTGCCACCAGTTATCAAAAATGACTAACTCTTTAATTGCAAAATTTTGGACAAAANAAAAATTGTATTATTATTAAATAAATAAAATAAAATATATATATATAATTTTTTAAAACTTGTTTAGTCATCATACAGAAAAAATAAAACAGATGTTTCTGCAACACATTTTTATATGAGATAAATGCAACTTTTTAACGTGTGTCTTGAGAATGAACAAACAATAGAACATTGAAGATAAAGTTTATATTTACATTTCAAAAATTCTAACTCAAGTAAACATTGGCTGAGAAATACTCAAACTTCGTAGACCATGCATTCTACAAAATTTGGGTATTAAAGACTGAGCTGTTCTACCCAAAAAATACATTAAGCGAGAATGCTTGTATATGTGAAAAAACCAGGGCTGTGGAGTCACGTAAAAATCTACTGACTCCTTCATTTCCTTACCATCCAACTCCAACCAAGGATGGACTTGTTACCGAAAGAGACCTGGAAATCCTGATGTCATCACATGCTCAGAATAAAAGATTCAATAAATAGAGTTCTAATAAAGATAGAGGAGTCTTTTAGCTTTGGAATTAAAAGTTTCTACGTTCTAAATAATGACAGTCAATATATGAATATTTATTCAATAACTTTTACTATACTGGCTGTTATATATATAACAGAGGGAAAGTGTAATGCTCGGTCAAAAAATAACCCCTCCCAAATTTTTACATTTTTGGACTCAGGGCACCTTGAAATTTTGAGATATGCAAAGGATTCGAGGTTTTTTCTATATATGTGGATGTTTTTTCCTATGTGTGGGACATGATTTTGTTCACCCTGTTTGAAGCTTAATAATTTCTGTGGTCAGAGTGGTTAGAATCGGAGTCAGATGGTTTAACACAGGAGTTAGTTATTAAGCATCAAAGTGGTTGAACTAAATTGTGTCCTCCCACACATTCTAACATCTTAGGCGAGAACATCTTAACGGGTTTTACTGTACTATTATAAAATGACAAAAAAGCTTACTTTGAGGATAGAGACGAGTTTTATTTATTTTTTTCAAATTTTGAATGCTAATAATGAGTAAAATATTCATTAAGAGATATGACACATGACCCCTTTTATGTCTTCACCCTGCTGACCTTTAATTAAGAACCAAAATTTAGTAGTATTAATGTCCCTTTATATGCAAGCTACAGTGCCACATTTTGTTTCTTAAACTTTACCCATTCTGAGATATTGTTTAATATCTCAAAACAGAAAATAAAGAAATTAGATGCCAGTCGGCGGATTTTTTGACGACTCCGACTCCACAGCTCTGGAAAAAATTCAGAATAATCGTCATTCTAATTTAAATATGGTAAAACTTCTCCAACTTGAAGCTGCAAGGGGCAGGAAAAATCTTTGAGTTACATAGAGAACAATAGAGTAAAAAATGCCAATTCTGAATAGATTTGTATTTTTACTTCTCTTGCATTATATAAAGAATCTCTGATAGTTCTTTTTTTTGTTTTAACTCCTTTCAGAATCAAACAGTTTTGCAGGTAAATCTTGTTGAGATAAAGCAAGAGGATCTCGCTTTTGACCGGAACATTGTCTGCAAATAGGTGTCGGACAGTAGATGCAACTAACTCTCTGAAAATTTTATGGAAATCCGATAATTAGGATCAATTTGGATAGAATGAATATTAAAATTTGAGTCGGGGAAGTCTAAGAACATAAATCAATGCGGGGACCTTGAAAACTTTCAACTGGAAGAAAATTAATTAAGAAAATTCAAGTCAGAGATGTTAAAACTACACTATTCCAGTGAGACCTACCGAGTATTTCGTTTTCTTCAAGATAAAGAAATATCCAAGTTACAAATGTTTGAATTTGAGAAGTTTCACCATAACTAAGGCTCTGTCAAGTCTTAAAAAGACTGCAATCAAACTCTTAGCTAACATTCCAAGAAGTATTTAATTAAATCTAAAATGACTATGAAAATAATATTTAAATAGAATAATAAGTAAAGAAAATCATAATCTTTATTTATATAAGTTGGTGATAAAATTGTTTTTTAAAAAAGTAATTTAAAGGTTAACAAGTAAGATGTTAAACATAATTTTCAAATTTTGTATGATTTTAATTAACCTTCAGTTTCAAAACTTATTATTTTTTGTTTATAATTAATTCAATGTCTGATAGCTGAACAATTTAACTACTTTCATCTGCAATCCTATGCATGTATCATCATTGTATTTACAGTAGAGCATCAATTATCCGACTCAATTGGGAACTCAGGTTGGTTGGATAACCGAAAGAATGGAAAAAAATACATTATTAGTGTAGTATATTAATAGTATGTAATTAGTATATTAGTATATCGCTATTAACCAACTTTGCGTTGAATTTTCATCTATGTTAAGCCTAACAAATTTTTTAAAATAATAATCGTTGCTATTGTATCGTTAAAAATTATTTTTAAATTATTTTATTACTCACAAAACAACCAACCACTCATAATTAGAAAATTAAGTCTCGTTTAAATACTGGCCTCCCTTTCATGGTCGAGCTAGTGTTGCCAGCTAAAACATGCAAAAATTTAACAAAAATAATATTAAAGTAGCCAAGATATAGCCAAATATTGTAGCACCACATCACTAGCAGACATTTGAAATTTACCGACTAGAACGGTCGGTTAACCAATGTGACGGTTAATCGATGCTCTACTGTAGTTACATTAGACTTTTTGTACTGTATAAATCATCATTGCTATCTGCAATACCAGAACAGAGAACAGAGGTAAAATGTTACAAACCCTTCACTAAGTAAGTCATAGGTGTCGACAATACATAAAAAAGAGCCACCTCTGCATAATGGTGCAATAGCAATTAATTGTTCAATCAAATCTGCAGTTTGTCAAAAAATTGTCCTTATTCTTAAATAAGGAAGATTGTTCAAGTTCAGATTCTGTGAAACAAGAAATCTGAAAAAGTGATAATCCTTCAGAGATTTCTTGTTTCAGAGAATGAAATTAATGGGGTAAAATAGATTTAGGGATAAAACACATTAAATACATTGCACTTAATTTAAACAACAATAACAAGCTAATGCTACACAGTCTGCAATAGTAACAAGTCCGATCAAATTGTCACGTATCTCTGATTGGACGGCGCGATCCAGCATCCCCACACACACTGTCTTACTTCTCGAAAGTCCTTTCTTTGTTTCGTCATTGGACAGAAGGTAGAAGATAAAAACAGATTTATTATGCAAAGGAAAACTTAATATTAAATAATTAAATAATAATAAATAATTTACCTAAAAGAAACTCAATACAGTCTACCCCCTATAACATGGTAGATACGTTCCGTTCTTTATGAATCGATTTCTTACGAGTCCTTGCCAATCACAGCCCGACACGTGTGAAGTTTACGGACTACAGCTGTTTGAAAGGTTTTCTTCCATAAAATTAATTGATTCTAGACTAATTTGACACAACATTTCCANATTACTTACAGAGTGTGCACCGTTCGACGTCACCATTGCTCAAGCTTGTTTTCGTCACAGAACAACGCACCAAACCACGGCCGCGATTTCTGATAAGTTATTTTTCTGCGAAAACTTCGTTGAACTTTGGAGACATCATTAATATAAATATTTTTTATGGCCGTTGAATAAGAAATGTTTCTTTCACAAGAAATGTATAAAATTACAGTACTGTATTAGACTTACGGTACCTAATTTACATACTGTACAGACGATAGTAAACAACTTACTCGCATAAACTCTCCATAGCGTGGCGCTGGACGGCGGAAAGTATATAATTATAATAAAGTTACAATAAATTAAATTAATATATAATTATATGTACAGTACCTAATTTATATATAATTTATATATAATACTGTACAGATGATAGTAAACTCAATTTACCCGCCTAAACTCTCCGTAGCATGGCGCTGGACGTCAGAAAGTAGTTTGGCTGCCCGATGACATTTTACCAAATTATAGGAGTTTTTTTACCAGGTTTGTATGAATACCGTCACAATTTTTTCACTATCTTATAGGAATCGTAATTATAGGAACCCATGTTATAGGGGGGTCTACTGTATTTTAATGAGTAACTTCATTCGGACCCTATGTCATAATTATGCCAAAACTCCACCAATAGCAGGATAATAATTACATTCTGTATTGCCGTTATCGAAACTTCATTTGTTATTTCTAGTTTATTATCAATAAAAAATAAATTAAATTTTAACATAATCTGGAAATTAAGCGAGAAGAACAAAAATCACTTATGCTAATAGAATAAAAAAAATTATTATTAAATTGTCTGAAAACGTTAGTAATGTTAAATTTATTCACATCGGTTAAAGATTTCGGAGGTACGTAGTACTTATTAAATTGTCATTACTATTGCACATAAAACAATATAATTTACAATTTATTTGTATTAAATGCATTAAAGGTGCTTCAGAACAAATAATAACATAAATGAGATAAACAATAGCTAATATACAAAATAAAATGCTAAAAATAGTTAATCAAGTACTTTAATTTAAAGTAAGAATAATTATCATTATTTAAGTTCTTTAAAGTAAAAATCAAGTATTACACACAAAAGAAATCAATGGACAATTCAAACATTTACAATGTTATTTGTGAAAACTATTGATTTATTTAATTGATCTATTAAATTTTGTTGTGTAGTTGTCTTTCCACAACACACAAAGATATTTAATAGTTTAAAAAAGGCAAAGACAAAAATGAACAATACCTGTGGGTAAAACTATGTTGGCACCATCTACAATTGCCTGAGCTAAGGCAAAATCATTATTTTCCACCGCATAGGCAGCTGCTTTTAAGGCATCCCATATTTCTTTGCGACCTTCGAATGCCGGTGCCGTGTCCCAGAATTCGTCTCGTTTGTTACGTAGCTGTCCTTCCGTTAATGGGACGTCGCTCTTCCATTTCGGTTTCTCGTGCCGGAGAGGTTGATTTTTTCCGATAGAGACTGGAAAATAAAAAATGCTCATTAATTTACTGTACTTAATTATGACAATTATATTTAAATCATTTTATTTGATCGTTGTCATCATTTCCGGAGAAGTCTAACTCTCCTTTATAACTAATTGCAATTCATTCTTTACTGTCGTTACCTACTCTTATCTTCAAATATTTACAATCAATGTGCTTTAATATTTCCTTGATTGTCAAATTTTTACAGTGAAACTAGTTAAACATCTTACTTTATGTATAAAGTATCAGAAAAATAATATAAATTATAAGTGATTAATAGTCACCAGTTTTATGCAAATAAATTTTAAAAAATTACATGTTTTTGCCTAATTTCACATTTCTTAATATATTTACAAATAATTGTTTTTAATAATAAATATTGAAAATAGTAAATATTCTTAAAAAGAATAATCCTTTTATGGAAATTTACAATAAACCTTACAGTCTGACTTTAAATCTAGAGCAATGTAGCCACATAACAGTCCATCATCTTAACCAGCAATTCCCGAACTTTTTTGATCCACTGCTCCCCTTTTTCTATAAAGTTATACCAAATTCCCCTAACCCTTTTCCCTTGTGTAAGAAAAGCTTGAAAATATTCTTAGTGCATGGTTCATAGAAAAATTTTCCTTTGTGTCCATACTATACATTGTTCTCAACCCACCATTAAATACAATGTTTCTTCTTACCCCTTTAGCAGAGAAAGGGGAAAGGTTGTCAGTGATTTTAACCTTTGCCTATGGTCACCATTCAATACCCTGCCTCCCACTTGCTTCTTTTCTCCCCCTAGATTTACTCACTGCCACAGGGTGGAAAACCCACTTTGGGAATCACTGATCTAGACAGATATTACACTCCAAAACTCACAGGAGTTCTACAAACCAGATTATTACACCCCTTTATTCGTACTACTGAAGTCATATCACCAGTTTAGTTATAAAATAGGAACATTCGACATAGCAAAATAGCTTTAATCAGAAGAGCATACATCCACTGCTTGGATATCATGAACACCATAGCATAACTTAAAAATAGCTACAAAATGTTACAATATAAAATAATATAGAACTGGTACATTGAGTTGAATACCAATTTAGAAACTGTCCACACCCACAGAATGCCAATACAATCAACAGTTCCATCAAATAGCAGTGGTGTGCCATCCTTGTATTTTCTAAAATATAAATACATATTGCGCAATTATTTTCATATTTTAATGTATTTTGGATTAATTAAAATTAATATTTTATTACTAGCAGCAAGGACCCACTTCGCTGGGTTTTTATTTGTGGGCAAAAAGTAACGATAGTGAAGATTAAGATAATTACATTATAGCCAATCTTACCCATTTTCACAAAATGCAAGAATTAGGTTTCCCATTTCCAGACGTTTCCAGAGAATTTTTACATGAGCATAAAAATATGTTTGATTTCCCGCAAAAGCGCAAAAAACTGCCTGTAAATCTTGCATGCCGCTTTATATTAACACTTCCTGGTCCCGATTCTATTTCTGAACGTCTCCTGTTCACGTCCAGTCAAACGAACTATTTTCAACGTTTCTGGAACGTTTACGATCGTTCTATAATCGAACCAATATTCGAATTTTATGTTTGAATTTAATTCGAACAAAACATTCGAAATAGAAAGCCACTTTCAACCACTTTCAGCCTCATATCTCCCACACCCTTATAGCTATCGAGACGCAACCACCCCTATGCACGAATGGAGACTTGGGGCTACTACCACATACAAACACCATTCACGTGCGATGTGTAGTTTTGGAGGAAAAGTGAAATATAGGGATATACATGTCCATTTTTATATATATAGATAACCGCATTATGTATCTTATTACAAATTTCTATACATGTGAAAAAAACGATAAGATTGCTATTATATATTTAAATATAAATTCATATATGCATGTTCCCAATGGAAGCACTGTATTGTTGAATACAAGATAGCTTCCATGACAAAAATATTTGGTGTAAAGCAGCCAGATTATAGGCATTTGCGCATGTGCTTTACAGAACACCAACCTCACGTGGTTTAGCCGGTGGAAACTACAAACCAAAATATCGTATAATGCTTCCAATGATTCTATTCAGAACCAGTTCTAGGCTGTTAGCCGCATGTCTGCTAGATATTTGGCTGCCCTCGCTTGATTATGTGAATTGCAAGTAGATTTATAACTTACCAGTAAATTCCTATCAGTTGGGTTATGTATTTATGATAGTTCTGTATAGTTGACAGAAGTTTTAAAAAAATTCATTAAAATATTTGATATATTTATTCTGCTTTCCTGTCTTGCATTAATTATAAATTTTAATGTTAAATTAGGGATATTACGATTTAGTATGTCCCATCTATAAGGAGATGCAGAAAAAAACATGTACAATTCTTGTACAATGTTAAAAATGAACTGTTACTTTGGCAGCATCATTTACAACTAAATTTAACGAATGAGACGCACAAGGTACAAAAAAAGCTCTAGAATTTATATTCCTTAAATTTACATTTATGTATTCATTGTCATAAAAATTTGTCTTTCCACTTCTTTCCCAAGACTACAAATATTCAAGTGCAAAGTAACCGGTTTCAACTTATTTCTACTTTAGTAGTTAAATAATTAAGAGATTAGGGAATTAGGGACATAAATAAATCCATGATGAAAGAGCAGGAATTTCACTTAAACAACTTAACCGAATCAATCTCTAGCCAAGTACAGTGGGAACTGATTTCTTCGTAATATTAGATGTAATAAAGATAGAAATGTTTCCAATTCAATGAGAGTGACCATAAAGTTGTAAATTTTGGAAATTTTCATGGGCATCTGGTCCTAAAACGAATTAGTTAGAAAACAAATGACGGACATCTATTAAGTTTAACATATTTAGATTTTTACAGCTATGGTAAGAAATGTTTAAAATTTACAACAACCTGTTGCATCCTCTGAGGTATACTAGTGATGCAACAAAAAGAGGCATTTGACATTGACCAGTGTTGGCACCCTGGGGGTTTGGCAGTCCATGTGCATGAACGCTCTGCAACCGTCTTCGATTCCATCCATTAGCCACTGGTAGGGAGCTATTTGACAAGTGGATTGTTTTAAGATTTTATATTATTTTTATGTACGTTTCTTTACAAAGCTATATTTAATTATAATTTTCTTTAAAAATATATTCATACAATTGAAGAATATTTTGTACCAGGTATGTATATCCACCACACATTTTATTTCACCAAGTACGTTTTTATAATTTTATTTTTAATTTTAGCCTTTATATCATGACTAGCGATTCAGAATGTAATTGTGATATTAAAAATATATTTAGAGAAGTCTATGGTTTTTACTGGCTCATTGAACAAACAAATACGAATGGACCCTAGACCATCACTGACATGCAATTAACTGATTGCCCCTGGTAGTCGGCTTCTTACAGAAACACGGCTTCCCTATCATCAAATGTCATGGCATGCCACTGTCAAATAGGCAAATAATTATAGATTACAACCATACACACTCATCCATCTACAAGCAAATGGTTAAACTTTGCTTCTGTAGAAACTCCACAGTCTACAAGTTACTATAGAACAGTAAAAATGATATATAGACTAAAAAACACATCACGCATATACTCTATCCCAATAACAGATGAAAGATTTAAATGTTAACTTGTGTACATAGATTCAACAAATAGATCATTCGACACAGGCTCGAAAAGCACAAGTATGACAACAATGATGATAAACCAACAATTACTTTGGCACAGTACGCAGGGTGTCCACACAACTAAATGAAACTAAGATTATAAAACTGGTCTCTGATGATGATCATTGCAGATTTCCAGTGTCTCAAGTGTTTTTAAAAGTGACATTAAAAAGTGAATGCATTAACTATAAAAATTCATCTCATCAGTGCATGGATGCATGGAGCTCTTTCTTCACTAATCCTCAGAAACAAGAGGCAGCTTTATAAGTAGAGAAAATGTAAATTATTAAGGCAGAACTGTGCTTAATTATATTAAACAATAGTAATTTTTCAAAATCTTTAAGTTAAACTTTATATTTTAAAATTATACATATTCTTATTATATGAATTTTTTAACTTTAAACAGTAACATCATTGAACGTTTAAACATTCCTTCGTGAATTTTGTATTTTTCGAATGTGAAACCTGAAGTACATTTATGAAATAAACTGAAAAGGATCATTTATCTTAAATAAACCTCTTGCTGGAAAGTGTGAAGGATTTGTAGATCTGTGGTTTTGTTCGTGGCATTATAAAACATATTTTTGTTTTATATAAACAAAACGGATGAAAAGAATAAATAGATACTAAGTCGAATTCACCATAATATAGTGGAACATTGTTAAATAAATAGGGATTATTAAATGAAAAGTTATATTATTTTCATTTCTGCTTAAGAAGTTCATGCCTAAAAAGTTTTCTAAATTGAAAATCTTAGTTTTACTGTACATACAACAGGTTTCCCACAGGAAAACCTACAATGTTAGCAGGTTATCACTGCAAATTTCCCTAAGAACACACTAAATTACAGTCTGGCCATTTTTTAAATTATTAATAATAAATATAACACTTCCCATGACCAATTACAAAGACTTTTTTTTAAGATGGTAGATCGACTGGCTTAAGTTGGAGTGGGGAACACATTGTAATCAATGCTGCCAAGAAAATGCAATGAAATTATGAAACTTAAATAATAAAACCTACCAATCATTAAATTTTCCAATTGATCAAACTGTTTTTAGGTTAACTGAAACAACAACCAATGATAGCTCATTAGCATATATACTGTAGGTAAGTGTATTTATATATACAAACAAATCTCTATTGATGTTATTGATATATCAATAAAAATGTAATTTGTATATTTTTATAAATAAAAATACAAAAAACAATTTGAAAATTCATCTTCTTTGAACTAATTTTCAAATCAATTGTTGTCTATTAATTATATAAGTAAATGACAAT